TAGGAACAGCTAAGATACTGTGCAAAACCCTCAAACTCCCAGGCCTCTGGTAGAGGACTCAAGAGTAAGACACTTACCACCCATAGAGGTGAGAGGGGAATTTATATAAAACCTGCCCCTGTCCCCTAGCAATCCTGACTAAGAGCACTGTTTCCGTAACTGCTAATGGCTGCATCTAGATTTTAACTTTCCTTTCAGAAATCTCAGTGTATCTGAGAAGAACTTCTGGGGATTGGAGATAGGGTATCTCTATCTGTGAGCTTGTATATTGTAGCACATGAATATTTTCTGACCCACTACCCAAATAACTTGTAGATCATTCCTTTGACATATGGAATTGTATTAAGGTATTCATATATTGTGCTGTAGATGTATATTTTCATTATGATGGATTATATGGTTAATCTGAACATATCCCACTGAGGAATAATATTATGCATGAGCAATATATAAGAGTATTTTTTCCCTACAAAGGTTTTAAGCTATTTGCACTGATGTTTACTTACTTCAGTTCTAAATGATGGGACTGTAGCTTTCATCTTCTCAATTATGCAACACTGCAACATCCGTTCTTTTTTTTTTTTTTCATGTAATTGCTTTAGGATTTTTTTCTATATTGCTAGAAGATTATGAGTGGAATGCTACAGGATTGCATTTGAGCTAAAGGCACACTGGTTTCACCTGCACTAGAAATTAATAGGTGAGATATTTCTATATAGCGGAGAACAAAGAATTTGAATGAAAACCAGGGGAATGTTGTCAATAAAGTAAAAGGGGTCTTAAATGGTACAATCAAAAACTAGCACTGTTATATTTGGAAGTCCATGCCAGCAGGGGCTTAAAGCAAGTCCTCTAGGCTCCAAAGCCAACCATTCAGATGGGGCTCCTCTGATGAAAGAACACAGCCCTGTGTAGGTCTCATCTCACCCCCTCAGTCATCCAAAATATCCCTTTCTCAGGGGCCTGAAGGTCTTTCTCAGGCATATTCTCAGGCTGGCTTGCAAAGGTAAAAGCAAGGCAAAAATCAAGAAATCACACAAATACAATGTATTTGAAATAACCTCCGGAAAAAAAAAATCAAGCGACAGTTGAAGAAGACCATCTTAATTCCTTTTCTACACCTGGAGAAAGTGGAGGCTAGGCAAAATTCCTAAGGGAAGTTGTTTGAGAGCAAGGTAAGAGAAGGCCCTCTCCTGCATATTGAGAAGCTAGATGTGGTCATTCAGAAGAAAAGTCAGTTTTTATAATCCTAAATCACAGTCTTGCACCCTCTCCTAAAATACCATGAAGGGAGTCCTACAATATAAAGTCACCTCTCCCAGTAAAAAAAAAAAAAAAATTTGGGACTGGTTGACATTTGGAAACAAAGTTTGTATGTAGTTTAGATAGCCCTGAAGGAAGAAATGAAAAAAAGAACCTCAAGCTTGACCAAGACCAAGAAATCAGACAACTTCTCAAAAACGATTACAGCAAGTCTTAAGAAAAAGTGGTTTTCCTTCCTCTGTCTAAGGCTTTAGAGACAATATGAGTGACAACAATCGATCTCAGATAACCTTGCTTCTTGCTCTAAGATGGATAACAAGAAACAAAGAAAGCAAAACTAGAACCATAATGTATCATATAAATCAGGGTTATATTCAGGGAGAGACTGAATAAACATTTTGGTTCTGCTTAGGATGGCAAAAATTGGAGGAGCAGGCAGTGTCTGTCAAGTCTCTGGCCAGCTACCTTAAAAAGAAAAAAAGAGTGATTGTGTCCATTAGCCAATGAATTTCTGTGTTCCACAGATAAATATTTCCCAACCTAGGTGGCTTTCAGATATCAGGACTTAATTTTCCAGAATACCTAGACCATTGCTGAGAATTCTGGAGGTTGAAATCCATACATCTGGAGACCAGGGCATCATCAGTTATTCCAATTTGAAACCCAAGCATGCTTAAGGGTTTATTTAGGCCATACAGTCAGTGAGAATGGACCTGGACAAATCTAAATGTTTACTGAATATTTAGAATTTAAAGGATTTATTTTTTTATTAAATTTAGATAGCCACCCATCTCACATATGTGACTCTGGGTGGCACAAAAGCCCATAAATGCATAAATGAATATAAGTGAAATATACTTTCTTTTATAAATATAAAGGAAAAGGAAAAGGAGCCTTTCCCAACTTGGTGCTTTCCAAATGGGCTGGGATGACAACTCCCCACATTCCTAGTGTTGCCTTAAAAACTCAGGCACCCCAAATGGCGTGGAGCTGAAGACCTATTCCCTGAATTTGGGAGAGAAATCCATTTTACCTTTGCAAAGGTGGCTTTTTAGCCTACCCGAAAATATGAACCCACCCAGTAACTCAGGCAAAGCAAAAAGTGTTTATTAAGGTTGGTCAAGTCTTTTTACAGGGTACAGAAACAAATGATACATACATTTGGTATATGTGATACATCAGAAACCAAGCAATCAAACAATAAAAGACATTGATTACATGTGAGAATTAAACAATAGAAAACATTGGTTACAGATAACATTCCACAAGTGGCAAATTTATGGGTTACATTACTCTCTTTCCCAGCTGGGTTTGTATCTTTAAAACTCACAAGTGTATTCAAGGGCTTCTCAGAATATGCTTAGTTGCTGAAAAGGCAACTTCTCGCATACCAAAAGAAATGGCCATGGCTCACAAGAAAAGCATGCTTTCCTAAAGTTAGAAAAGAGGCCTAGACTGCTTTGTTTAAAAAAATGCTAATATCACCTTTTAAAATGCTAATAATGAAACTTAAAATTCCAGGTAACACTAGCAAATGTGGGATGGTTAGCTAGTAGTGAGCAGAGTTATGGCCCAAATGGGGAAGCCAACTATGCTGTTGGTGAAGCATTTACCTCCCTCATGTGCTTTTCCAGCCAAACACACAGCCCAGCCAGTGCCATAACTCCTAATACTTTTGTGAGAAACAACTTTTAAGTTCCAAAGAATTGAGACAAAGATCCAATGAAGCAGCAAGACATTTATTAAAAGAGTACATTGTTGCAACAGCGGGTGTCCAGCAAGTAGGCACACCCTGTGATAAGATCCATGCACTTTTTATTCCCTATGCCCGAGTGGAAAAACCCTCCTCCATTTCCCTATTGGTTGGGTACTCAGGAGTTTACAGCTTATCCGATACGCCTAATACAACTCCCCGAAGTCCCGCCTTAGTTTACATCTCCCACTACTCAAATTTTAAGCCTCCCCCAGTCCATATTTATCTATTTCCTTTTATAGCAGTTTTTGGCATTAGGAGTGAGTGTGGTCAGTGATGTGGTTTCAGATCTAATTCAACTATTACCACAAAACCAACTCAGGTCGGTTCTTCAGCTCCCTGTTCAGAGACTCTTTTAACCACCGGTACTAGTTTCCTCTCCATGTTGCCACATCCTTTAGCTCTTTTACTTTTTTTAAGCAAACTAGCAGAAAGTCATACTACTTTATGCTAAGAACCCCCTAAGCAACTGAGGACTAGTAACTTGATTGTATCACTACATATGTTCTGCTTAGAAAAGCAGGGGTCTGGAAGATCCTTTCACTGCTAGTTGCTCATCATGGTTTATTCTAAAGCATATACTGTCCAATTTGTTTGCAAAAACAACATTTTGTCATTTCTCACACTTTGACAACTGTCGTATTCTCTTTCAAGATGCAGACGATGATAGGAGCCTTGCCTTCCTTCTTTCAATCTCATAGCAAGAAGGTGAGGCATTCTAGGTTGAGGTTTTTCAGCCATTAGATTTCCCCTGAGCATTAATCCTTCTCAGTCAGCCAGCTGGCTGGCAGCCAGTCATTTCCCAGCTCCTGAGCCCAGGACATCTGGCTTCAGATCCATCCTGCCTGTGTATCCTTGCCTACCCATTCTCTACAGTTGGGCTCGATCTAAATGTTCTTTGGTGACCATAGCAACGGCAGTAAAAGCCTGCCCATCTCCTGCTCAGGTTCCCTCCTGCTAACAGTTTCACCTTCCGGAAGCAGCTATCTTGGATTAATTAATAGAGGAGGTATAATGAAACAAAAGTACTTGTGCTGTGACTTGTATCATAATACATGGCTGTGAAGTACATGAATGTGGGAATTTCTATTAATAAGGCAGTAATGGTACTGTGTGAGTGTGAATAAATGCTCCCCCCTCCTTCACTTACTTCATCTTATTATTGTGAGATCTCCATCAGGCTGAAAGTGAAATGTGCATAGAAACAGTTCAAGGTAGAGGAGACCTTGTGCCACAATTTAAAGAGCCTGCTCTCAAGGAAATACAGAAGTGGATGGAAATGGAGTAAGGTTTTACCTCAGCCTTATGCTATATTTTGCTGTGATTACATTAATAGAGAGATAATGTGGTATAGAGACTAAAGCAGGGTTCCTCAGCCTTGGCAACTTTAAGACGGGTGGACTTCAACTCCCAGAATTCCCC